TAAGTATAGTTCAAGTTCAAATTTCAGGTTAAAGGATGGTTCAATCTGATTTGTATAATATCATTGATTTTATCATTAATCTAGAAGTTAATTATGTTAGTAAATTTAATTTGCATAATTTTTGCAATGATTAATTTCAAAGTTTATTACATATTTTGTTTTGATTAAATTGCTAATAAAAAGCCTCAAAAAGAGACGTTTGATCTTGTAATTTCATTTTTTTGAAATTATATATTCTTTTAAAAATAATCATATCAACTATTTAAAATGAACTCCTTTGAAAATTCAACTTTATATTTGGACGAAATTACAAATATCAATATTGATACGCAAGTTCAAGTAAACAATCAAACTTCTAATCAAGCTACTTTACCAGATTTATATGTATCTAACTCAGTTTGGGATTATTATGATAAAGAATCATCTGAACATCCTAACTAGCCTGTTTGTAAGGATTTACAATGTGGCAAAGTTTTTTCAACCAAAACAGGAGTATCTACTTTACATCAATATCTCAGAATTCAGCATAGTATTGATCTTCTAGTGAAACAATATAATTTAACAAATCATAATCATTATAATCCCTATAGAGGCAAAAAAAAAGTTGACCATGATAATTTGTTAATTAATTGGCTCATCATAGATCAACAACCTTTTACTATTGTTGATAATATTTACTTTGTAAATTAGATTAGAAAACTTGATTCCATTATACTTTACTAACACGTCAAGCCACCAAGCAAATTATTATTAATGAATTTAATTATTGATAAGAAAGAATTCATCTTGATCTAGCAAGAATTTTTAGAAAGGTTTTATTAACTGCGGACATGTAGACAGATATTAATAAAGAGGCATTTTTAGGATTAATGATTTATTATCTTGATGATAATTAGAAACTTTGTGGATTTTTACTAGTTATTATTCTATTTAAAGTTCGTTATACAGGGATTAATATGGCACAAGCGATTACTAATGTATTAGAAGAATTTAATCTTTACAATAAATGTGTAGCTCTTACAACAGATAACGCATCATCAATGTATTAGAAGAATTTAATCTTCACAATAAATGTGTAGCTCTTACAACAGATAACGCATCATCAATGATTGCATGTAGTCGTATTTTAGCTAGTGAAATTGAAAAAGAATTTAATAACTTGTCATTTTCTTACTATTGTTGTGCCATTCACATGTTGAATTTAGCAGCTAAACAGAACCTCGAACTAGTTTCTAGCTTAATAGAAAAAGTTCAAAATTTGATGCTTAAAATTAAATATTCAACATTATTATGTGCTGAATTGGAAGGTTTATGTGAAATCAAAAAAATTAAATATTTAAAGCCTGAAATCGACATTGATATCAGGTGGAATTCAACACATGACATACTAAAAAAATATGAAAAAATAGAAGTTGCATTACTTTTATTATCAATGACATGTCAAGCAATTAAAGAATTACTTCCAAATGATGATAATAAAAAGCAAATCCAGGTATATATTTTAAATAAGAATTATTTATTATCCTTATTAGAAAATATTAACTTAAATTTATAAATTTAAAAGATACTCTTTTATTATTGGAACTATTAAAAGTTACAATTGAGTATCTTTCATCGGCTTCATATCTTACTCTTACTGATGTCCGATTTTACTTTAATGAAATTCAAATGAATCTTGATTTTTATATTGGGCAAAATAATTTTACACAATCTGAAATTGCTGCTTCTATCCTTCAGAAAATTGAAGAATATTCATTATTAATGGATGCAACATCAGTAATATCAACTATCTTTGTCCTTGTACAAAGTTAAATGCATTTTATAATAATGAAATTCAAGATGCAAAACAACAAATACTCAGGTTGATGGATCACTATCAAAA